GTTTGTTTTTTTTTTTTTTGCTTGTTTGTTTTTTTTTAACGTCACGAACTTCTACATAAATCAGTTTTTTTAATTATAAAGTACATTACTTTCATTGTTTCCCTCATATCATAAGATAAGATAAGATAAAACTTTATTAATCCCTCGGGTGGGCTCCTCTGGGAAATTCGGTTTCCAAAAACACAGCACCGACAGAAGTTACAGAGTTACAGAGTTATATATATATACACGAAGGGGATAAATAGAATAAATAGGAATGAAAATAAATAAAAATACAAGTGAATTGCACATTTCAAGTATGGAGTCTATTGCACCGTTGACTATTAACAAAAGTATTGCACAAAAGGTATTGCACAGTGAGGTGAAGAGGCACTACAGCTTAGTTGTTCCCCCCTCCTTTGTCCTCCTGTTTCCCCTCCCTCTCCCCTCCAGAGAGGAGTTAAACAGTCTGATGGCGTGTGGGACAAAGGAGTTTTTAAGTCTGTTAGTTCTTGTCTTGGGGAGAAGCAACCTGTCACTGAACAGACTCTTCTGGTTGTTAATGGCCGTGTGCAGAGGATGCCCAGCATTGTTCATAATGTCCAGCAGTTTTTTTAGTGTCCTTTTCTCTGCCACCTTAGTGGCATATCATCCCCATGCTGCGCCAGGGCATATTGGGAGCTCATCTCTGATCTTTATCATTCAGCTTATTGTCAAATGCTTAGAAACTAAATGAGCAAATGTGCAATAAAACCTGAAGAGATTAATTTTTTACAGAAACATCGTTAACTACAACCCCACAAATCTGATAAATTACAAAAAAAAGGGGAAAAAAAGAAAACGAATCACCTTTGTTCACTCATATGTCTACACCAGGATGAAATTCCAGTAGCTGCTGGTACAAAACTGTCAAAGCCTTTTCACATTTTTTTCTTTAAACTGAGGATCTTGCCACTCTTCAATTCTAGATCCTCTGAACTGACGCGATTAGCTTTGTAAACGTAACTATGGTCTTGGAGGTGCTGCAGACAAACCCACATTGTGCACGCGGAGATCACGTTTGATTATTAGTTTGTTTTTTTCGTTTTAACTGCTTTTTCTGCCCCATGTTCACAGGTGGTCCGCCTACGTCTGATTTTTGCTACCTTTGCAGAAGCTAATCATCAGAAGAAGACTGCACGCGTATTTCCTCGTTTTTGCCTTTGTTTACAAGACCTGTGCTGGCAAATGGTATGGGGACAGTAATTAATTTCAGTTCACTTTAATAGGTAATTGCACTACCGAGCATCAGGATGAAAGTAGAAACGTTATAGATTCACACGATTTGAGAGTTGTGTGTTCACAACTTGTGCAGGAATGCGGGAGTGAACCAGGAAAAGAAACAATCGCTCTCACCGGGGGCTAAATCTAAAGCACGGTCCCTTCTCAACAGTTTTTGACCAATCAGATAGACGCGCTTTCTCTTTTATAAATAAAAAGAGAGTGTGTGTAAAATAAAGGAGATGCCTATCAGAGAGTGCCATCTCTGCAATGACTCGTAATTACGCATTGACAGGATGTTCCGGTCCCATTTTACACCGATTCTTAGACCAGGTTACTGACCTGACCTCTATTTCCGTTTTTTCCCCGCATATTTAGCACCAGCGGCAGAAAACTGTGGAAGTTTTCTTTTTACAAACCCATCTTCTTAAGTCATGATCTTGCAGTCTTGACTTTAGCACGTGAAGAAAGCTCCGGTACACACACACACACACACACATCGAGACGGGTTTATCGTTTTCCTTCCACACCGCCCGGCTAGCTCAGTCGGTAGAGCATGAGACTCTTAATCTCAGGGTCGTGGGTTCGAGCCCCACGTTGGGCGATTCCTGTTTTCTTGGAGCAAGCAACTTCCTCACGTGTGAAGTCTTTGCACGCATCCAAGAGTTAACTCAACCCACTACAACTTCCAAGCTAGGTTCAAGGTTCTTTATTTGTCACATGCGTAGTTATACAAGTATAACACACAGTGAAATAGCCTGACACGCTCCTCGACATGTGCAAAAATGATGGGGGGGTTAGAGGAAGAACATTATATATATAGTATATACACTGGGTGAATGATCAAATCAAATCAAATCAAATCACTTTTATTGTCACATCACATGTGCAGGCACACTGGCACAGCACATGCGAGTGAAATTCTTGTGTGCGAGCCCCACAAGCAACAGAGATGTGCAAACACAACAACACAAACGAGCAAAATACAAGAATGGCCAACCTGAAGTAGTAGTAGCAGCAAGCAGGTGAATTCTGTACATTAATATGAATAGACATCTGACTATTTTACAGGATAGACAATATAAACATATTTAAAATTAAAGGAATTTGAAATGTACATTGTGCCTGGGTTTAGAGTGTCTGGAAGAGTCCTGTCTCAGTCAATTATAGATGATGTGAGAGGGCGGGTGTGTGTGTTTAGGGCACGGATGGCTTGGGGATAGAAGCTCCTCTTGAGTCTCTCTGTCCTTGCCCGGATGATGAGGAACCTTCTACCAGATTGCAGAAGTTGGAACAGTTTGTTGCCAGGATGGGACGGGTCCTTCAGTATCTGCTCTGCTCTAGTCCGGCATCTCTAGCAAGACTAGAGCTAAGCAGAAAAGCTAGCAAGACTTATCTGTTCAATCTAGCATTAACAGCTCCATTAATATTCAATTCAATTCAATTTTATTTATATAGCGCCAAATCACAACAAAAGTCGCCTCAAGGCACACACGTACCACATGTTCACAGCATCTAGTAAAGACAGGCGTAATTATGATAATAATGAACTAAAACACAATCAGGAACTTCAGGGTGGATAAAGATAGACAGATATAATTAGTGTTGGAAAAGAAATGACACCGACCTCTCCCACAGTGGAATTGAAGAAAAGGGTATGATGCCTTCATTAACATCGGACAACAGATTTAGACATCAGACAGTAAATTACAAAAATGATGTTTAATCAACATCAACGTGATTTTTTTATACAATATTATGTGAATGAAACACTTTAGATTTATTAGTGAAAAATAAAAAGAGGGGAACGAGTGAAACTGTGTTAGCTGACCACATTCCATCATGTAGGGGAGACCGGGGATAGTTGTAACATTTTTGACATTTCTGTCTGTAAATTGGAGCTCGTTTAAGGTAGTGGATTCAAAATGTAATGCAAAGTATTTACATGTCTCGGCTATTAAATAGTGCAGCTATTTTCTCTGCAGCACAATTACCCATTGCATGGTATGGCCTCAAACACAAAGAGTGAAATGTTACAATTAACCCCATAGTCTGGGTTAGTTGTAACACATCCTGGGGTGAAATGTAACACAATGAAATAAGGGTACTAACAAAACATTAACATGTAATCTTTGTTTATTCAACACAGTGCTCTGCATCTGATAACCTGTGAGTAGCAACAATGCTTACACATCTGTCTCACTGCAATGTTAATCCCTTATGCATGATGCCAAATCTGATCCTAAACAACCTGCTGCACCCAAACGTGTTCTGCACAGGGTGTAGCAGGGAGTCATCCTGGTTTTATCTTTGCTAAATTATTTAAAGTTGAGTTTAAGTAGATTTGCTTATTTCACTTAAGAGTTTATTGTTAAAAACATTTTTCATTTTACTTTAGTTTTATTTATTGTGTGTGTGTGTGTGTGTGTGTGTGTGTGTGTGTGTGTGTGTGTGTGTGTGTGTGTGTGTGTGTGTGTGTGTGTGTGTGTGTGTGACAGAATGCAGAAATCTAGCTTTTGAACATATTCCAACCCCCCAAAAAAGACAAATTATGGAATTTTCTGCAACTGAATATTTCATTAATTTTGGTTGGTCTTCCTTGAGTTTGGCCTCATTGGCTCAGTGGGCATTATAACCTACAGCTCTTGCACCAATTTTGAACATAACAATGAAGCTGAAAAATTGTAGTTGTTCACCAGCACCGCAATTCCATTACTTTTTATCATGGCTTACCTTGGTGTGGTTTGCAAAGTGCTTCAGAAAGATGAGGAAATCTGTTTCTTGCACCCATCCTGATTTATTTCCACTACCAGTACTTCCTACTGGTCCATCTCTGACACAGAGGTCTGCATAATGTATGTGTGGGAACACAAACAGTGGAGGAATTGTGTTGCCAATGGCATTAACCACATATACAAAAGCGACCAGTGAACCTCTCTCTGCTGATGCCGTTGCCCCAACTTGTTTAATATAAGTTAAAGTAATAGTGTGGTAAGTTGCAACATCTGCATTATTGTTACAACTGACCCAGACTCCTATAGCCATGAACTCGCTAACATTACAGCCAACGGCTAAAACATTAGCACTAAAGACCTACACAGAATATATCCCCATAGACATACAAATAACATAATTTGAGTTTGATGAGTTTAACTGCAAAGCAGATAATGCTATTAGAAATTGAAATAAAGTAGAAAAACTTACTTTTTGGCATACAAATTACTTTTTTTCATGTTAAATTGTCTGTGTTTGACAAAATGTGCTGATTTTTCACATGTGATAGCAAAACTGAGTTGGGCATGCACAGGATGAGTCACATCATTTGAAACTTAGCCCTGACTGGAGAAATTGGAAGTGTTACAACTGACCCACGTTACAACTATCCCCGGTCTCCCCTACGAGCAATGTAGGGAATACTGAAGCACATTCTTTCAGTTGATAAACTGCAATTTATTTTGCATGCACTGCTTAACAAAATGATTGCGTTTTAAAACGAAATCGTCCTCAACTGCTCTATTAAATCTGACACGGGTCTGGATGAACCCTCTGCCGGCTGCTGTTCGAGTTTCACGAGCAGTTCCTCGGTTTTCCACCCGTCCACTCAGGTCACATGTCTAGACATTTTCTCACACACCTCTTCGTGGCCTTCAGCTTCCCGTCCTGAACCAGATCAAACTGAACTCCCGATAAAGCAAACCCCCGTTACTCTACTTGGGCCAGTTTCCATTAATTCGAACCGCTCTGCAGCGGTCTAGTTTAGGTCAGCGGTCCTGCAGCTCAAGGTGGGGGAGACACTCGTACCTGTGGCGGCTCTCCTCGCAGAACCTGGCGACCTGCTGAAGAGCCTCGCACTGCAGAATCTGTTCAGAAGTGTTCTGCAAAACAAAGCATGGTTGAATATTTATGTTAACCAGAGTTTATCTAGAAAATAAGTCGGGATCCACACTGGCAAAGTTTGACAAATGCAGTGGAGCAGAATGAGGCGTTTGGACTTACAATGACCAAGATGCAATGCAGGTCGCGGGATTCGCTTCTGTTGCTGGTTTCCTCTAGCAGCTGAGCGAGCCGCCTCATTCCCGTCACTCGCAGGATGTCGAGGTAATTGTCGTAGCAGAAAGCCTGCAGCAGTTTGAAGTGAATCTGCAGCGCAGCGTCATCTTCATCCTCCTCATCAAGGGCCAGCACACACAGCACCGCGCCATCCGGGTATCTGCGGGTAGGACAGGAGAATAATAAACCCCACATAGCGTCAAAATCACTATTATTCTGACAGTACAAATGAATTGCTTTACATTAATACTTACTCATTCAGGAATTTTGCAGACTCATAAACTCCCACAGTCAGACAGTTCTGATGATGAGCTGTGACCAATACATGTTCCAAAGTCTGGCTGATGGTCTCCATCTACAGAAACACGAAGGAAAGTAAGTATAATACAGGCTCTAAACAAGGGCATAAAAGCTTATCAAAGTGCACTGTAGCCGGATTCAAAATGTAACTTGTGTCAGTGCGTAATTACGCACCAAACATGCCTATCTTACCTTTTTCTGTGTGCTGCTGGATTCCAGAGAAGAAGAAGAAGTAGTCGGAGACAAGTCGGTGGTCATTGAGCAATGACGAATCTCTGTCTCTTCAGGTCAAAACTTTCATACCTGCTCTGGGACGTCACACCTTACCACTCCCTCTGTTACTGGCCAGCTGTACCCCCCGTCCCTTTTCAAACTTCGCTCCCTGTCTCCCTCCTCTTCTTTCTGCACACAAGTTTGTTTGCTTAAATCCTTCTCGTTAAAAAATAATAATTAAACTTTGGAGAAGATGATTTTAGCATAGGGATAACCTCTCAAGATAAGGCTGTATATTAGCTTTGTTTTTTATGGATGAGCCACTGCAAGAAGAGGCACGCAAAAATATTCAAAATAATATTCTGATATCTATATTTCAAATGTATGTGCAGCGTCTCTGTTCCTGTCATGCTTCACATCACGCATGTTTGACAAACATGACTGGAAGCGCCCTCTCCCTCTTTGATCAAGTCACGTAGACCTGGAATGGACCTTTTGGAGATGTGCACAGTGAGTGGGTTTAAACGGGTTCTGCTCTTTTGTTTGGTGAATTCGAAAAGTGTTCCGGTGGACGCGTGAAGGGCTCGCAGAGATTAAGGTGAAAACAATGCAGAAAGCTGTGAGCTGTAGCTGATAGCTGGTTGAAAGTGCATTGATTGTTTCTTTAGGCTGATTCACTCAAACATTAAGGACATCATGTGTTCACTGTCCCTGCAGGGATAAGACCCCCAGAAATATCTGGGCTCTGTACTCAATCTCTGGACTGTGTATTTAGATAAGATTTATGATTTTAAATCTCTGCAGTTTCTTTCACTTGTAAGTATTTATCTTCATATTCAGTGTTTATTACATTAATACGTTAATATCAGATAAAATTACAAGATCAATTAAGTGAAGGAATCCAGTTTACACAAGATGTGGGGGCATTTTATGTTAGTTTATGTCAGTCTTTGAGTGATTTTGGGGTTTTCTGAAAACACCTCCAGGAAATGTTTCAGTTGAATCATGGCTATTGTGTTTAATGAATGAGAACATTAAACTTGATGAAGCCCCTAATAAGGTCTCGTGCGGAAAACACCTGATTGATTAAAGACTTAATCAGTGGCGCTGATAAGGTGAAGCTGTGAAATTTACTAACAGGGTCGCTGTTACAGGCATGCACCCGAAATGCGTCCACAGTCTTTTTTTTTTTTGTTCAGTTTCAGTTTGCTCGTTATGAGGGGATGTGGGTTTGTCTGTCTCTGTCGGCAGAGAAAGTGTGCGATAGTTAGACAAAGGTGACAAAAAAACTTAGTGCCAATAAAAATTCCAAGATCACATGAAAACTAAAACTAAAGATTTTCTTAAAACATTTATTTTAGTTACATTTGCAAGCAGAGAATAGCCCGAAGTCTGTTTGGTTTAATTATTTTTTGTCATCTGGCCTTGAAGCATTTTGTTGTCGTGAAATTTCTGTACAGCACTGACAATGAAATGAAACAGCGAGATGATCAACTTTATTTGGCTTTAGTTTTATTTTAATTTTTGTTTTTCTCTTATTTTTCATCAAGACAGCCCCAGGACGCTTTGGCGCATCCGTTTCATTGGCAGAGATATGACTTTGTGCAGTTTTCGCTTTAAGAGGCAGTAAATCCCTCGTTTTAAAAATAATACATTGAAAGTTTGAAACTGAGGATTTCACCTTTACCCCATTTTTTTTTCTCTTTGCAACTTTAGAGCGTGGATTCAGAAACAACGAACACGCTGAAGAATTAAATCCTTCACTTTTATTTACAGCAACGACAACAACAACAACAACTGCGGCTTGGGTAGCGATAAGAACAAACGTAGTAACAAGAAAGGCAATGCACCGACGAGTCCCTCCGTCGGCTTTCTTCGCAGAAGCTGCTGAGGATCTGCAGGGCCTGGTGTGGAAGCGGCTTCACTGGAGGGACCTGCGAAACACAGCGAGGAAGGACGGTGAAACTCCCGGAAAACACATCACTTTGCTTCTTATTCGAAGTAGCCTATCATGAAGCCAAGTGTACAAATTACAACGATTTTAATAGAGATAATCGGCAAACATGTTAACTGCGCAGCAGCACAAATGGAAATTTGGCTTACAGTGACCAGAATGCAGTGCAGGTCCCGCGAGGCCTCGTTGCCGTTGATGTCATCCATGTTCACCAGCTCTGCCAGCCGTCTCGTGTCTGTCGAACACATGATGCTGACGTTCTTCTTGTAGCACATATCCTTTAGCTGGATTAGATTCATCTGTAACATAATGTCACCCTCTGTTTCGCTGGCAAGGACGCACAGGACGACTCTGTGCGGGTTTCTGCGGGAAACAGGACGACATTAATGTCACCATTGCCACGTTGTTCCACTATTAGATCAATTACTGCATTTGAACTATATTTAAACGTAAAAATTAAAATACTAACGCTTTCATGTATTTGTAGGACTCAATTACACCGATTCTGAGGCAGTTCTGGTGATAAGCTTCCACGAGCAGCTCCTCCAAAGCCTGACCCACCATCTTGATCCTACAGATACGCAGACGGTTAGAAATGCGCACAAACTAAGACAAAACAGCCCCAAAGTCAACAAATAACCCCAAACAATGAGAATACACCCTAACCCATGACTCAACATTAGAAACTGCTATAAAAACCCGAAACTGGGATGAAATTTGAGCAAACTTACAATGTATCGTGTAGCAGGGGTGCGTAATTACGCACCACTGAGATACAATGTAAGTTTTAATTTGGAAAATTGAGACTTACAAAATCAAGTTAGCGTAAACAAATATAGTGATTAAAGAAATCAAATCCTTTTTCAGACACCGCAGAATGTTTCACTGAACTGAAACACAAGCAAACTGTGGAAACCCCCCCGTGAAGTCTTACATCCACTGTTCGGTCATCTTGGATGTAGCAAAAGTGCAGAGATCCAAAGCAGGAGCAGAGTGTATGTCTTTAAGAGAAACTGAGCCCAGTGGATCAGGTCCTTCATTTATACTCAGGTGGGGTGGGTTGGCCCACCTGAACACAGCAGGCGGTTTGAAGGTAGACAGTTTTAAATGGTTTTAAAAATGTATTTGCAAGTCACGTGTGCGAATGCTTGGTACAAAATTCAAAAGTCCGAAACAGAAAATGTCTTCTTTAAACGGGAAGAAATGTATAATTACACTTTTTTGGACGGGAGGTTCTGACACTGTTATACAGCTATAATCATGTGTAATTACCTGACCTTACTTCGACCGAAGCAAACTTTTAGACCAGGCACCCAGCCCACGATTATTCTAATATTTATCGACAATTGGAAATTAAAAAGTAAAATAAAAACTTTAATTGAGGTCAAACAAACATGTCTGTGCGTCCCCCTTACCCCCTCGTCTCCTACAGACTTGAACTGAACTTCGTACAGCAACACCAGGTCTCGGACCCCTACCCCCACCCTGCCGGTGGTGGGGTGTAACTGGGACAGAGAACCTTGCTCTCTGCATTGTCTCTGCAGATCTCATTTCCCCCTAAATAATTTAGACACTGCCTTAATATGAAGTGTGTAGGAAATTAAACTCGAAATTGAAGATCAGCAGTTTCCGTAAATGCGTGTTGATTAGTCTTTGGAATTGTGAGATGAACATATGTATAATTCAATAAAAGAGTGTTTCATTTCTTTCTCTTTTGTTGTGCATTTGTGGACTTCCTGAGGTTTTTAAATGGGTTGGGGTTTCCTGGATTCAACTTCATGATTTACAATGATATAAATAAAACACCCCAAGAGAAAGAAAAAAAAAACTGTTATGTTTAACATCATGTTTAAACATTTCCGTTAGGAGAATTAATCAAATCTTACAAGTATCAATATTTAGACTTCCAGAGAGCAATGTAAAACACTTCCGTTTTAAAATAAAACATTTTATTTGTCATATTTCTAAAAACAAAAAAACAACTTGCAATTTTTAGAATGCACGGAAAATAAAATTTTATTGCTCTTATTTATTTTAAATTTTCTTAACAGGTTAATTGCTACTGGGGTCAGAAAGATCCTTCTACAGGTTAAATAATAATTCATACATTACATTTGTTATAGAAATTCTGTATGTATAAACATAAAAAAAACAAAACAAAAGCTAAAATGAAACAAATGTTCCCCCTGACCCTGAACAGCGCAAACACCGACAGTGTACCTCAAAGCAAATATGAAACTTAATTTGTCACGGCTCTTTCAGTACCAAATTCAGCTGAACGACTGTTTTCACACTGAAACACACTCCACCCACTTATTAACGTTTCTTTTATTTTATATTTTCTGTATATAACTTGTGCATGTCCTTTTGTGTAGATACATTCCCTGTGCAGGTACCTCTTAAACGTATTTTATCTTTATTAATCTAATTGTCTTATCCGAAAAATCTGAATGCAAAAACCTAAAAGCTGCAGAGAGACGCCAAACAGTGACAATAAAGATCTATCTGTAAGACAGATAAGAAAACAGGTTGGAAAGTGCCAGACTGACTCACTGTTACAGGGATTCACCTGAGAGAACCTGTGGTAGGACTCGACTTAAGCGGTCAAAGAAGTGCAGGAGACTGATGCTGTCCAGTAGTGATGGCCCGCTTGAAGCTGACGCTCCGGAGCGTGTGTCGAAAAAAACAACACACTGGTTCAGAAGCACTGTGTCGAGGCTTGCTTCGTTTGGCAAAAGTCACGTGACCAGTGACGTCCGAAGCTTCATTACGCACGTAACTGCTTCGGTACCTGATTTAAACGGATATAAGGAAGCGAATCATCCACGGGATTCGTGGAGTGTGTTGATGGTGACAGATAGCGAAGAGGTGATCATTCCACTGACAGATATGGAGCCAGCGAGGAAGAGAGGACGTTCTGGCGTGTGGGAATATTTTGAGTTGATTTTGCTCAATTCTTTTTATCTGCCGAAGTGAAAAACTTGAAATGTCCAAAATCATGTTTTCATAATGTAAATATCATTACAGCATATGACTTTAGGAACACTTCCATGTGAATTAAAGCTGATGAAGACTACAACAATGTATTTGACACTATACGTACATTACATTGCTACACAGTTTAGAAAATCATTTTGTTTATTGTTTTTAGGTGATAGTCTGCAGGACCCAGGAATACCTGCATATCTACCAACTTGCAGTGTAGTTCCTGCACTCCACAGCCTCTTCTGTTCCATGCAAGTGGATTTTCTTCAGGGCAGGAGAAACTATTTCTAAGAAAAGAAACAGACTCAGCCAGCGCACAGTAACACTAATCCTCTTTTTAAATGTAAATAACAAAAGGGCTACCTGACATAGATCATGTTTTTACTTTGCAAGTTCTTGATTAGGGGTGGGTTTTGATTATCGCCTTTCTGATTACAATCCATGCTAAATTGAATAAAGTGATATTGATTCATTAAAATCCCGTGTCGATTTGTGAATTAACGTTATTATGCCTGAAACGCCAGCATCTCAGGTTAAACCTCACAACATGTCGTCAAACACCATACAGCTAAAACAGTAACTGGGAGCAGGTTTACGGATTCTGCATACAAACGTGAACACAGAGCGCGGACCCGACGCGTCAGAGTCAGATTTTGATGTGTCGTCAGGTCCGCGCTGTGTTTGCCTCTTTTTTCTTCGCTGGCTTCTGCAGCTGCAGGTTTCATAACTCTCTGTTTACATCTCTAATTAAGTCTCACATGTGTCAGCTTTCTTTTAATAGATACGAAATTATGGATATATACTGTTAAATGATCAGAATTTTAATATTTCTGACTGAGGCAAAACTTTCCAGATTCCAATCAAATTGAATCGGATCCTGTATCGAATCAAAATGATTCTACAAATCAGTGACGATGCAGCCGTACTCAGCTTCCTAAGCATTTTCCCTTTCCAGTTCACAATCAATCCCACCCCTAGGTCAAAAATATGTATAGGACAATTGGCCTCATCTAATATTTTGTATGAACCTGTCCAGCTGTCCAGTGATTAAACGACAAGTAGATGGAGGCAGGACTTCACAGCAGGGGCATACTCCATAATGTGCTGTGCATTCTCATATGTATATTATATATATTGCTCACTTATTGTATTTACCAACATCAAGGAGTTATGAGCAGAGAAAGGCCACACCATAGTGCATGTTTAAATAGGGAAAGTTTATTGATCAAAATGTATTACGCAAATACGCATTACATTTTTTTCAGCCCCCCAATCGAGAAAACAAAACCAATTACATGTTCAAAGCAACGGAACGGTGGCCCAATATCAGAGAGAACTCCACTCTTGAGTGAGCAGTGATAATTGAGCAGTCCGTTTTATTTTGCAGATTCAAGCTGCTCTTCAAAAGTTTCACCACCAGATGTCACCGGAGAGGACTGTGTTGAAAAGCTTCGAGTAATGAACCGTTTTTCAATACAAGCTTCAGTGCTTCGGAAAGCTTCGTGGCACTGAAGCTTGTATTGAAAAACGGTTCATTACCAGTTCCACATCACTTCCGTGATGTGGAACTGGTTTGGTGTTTGTCAGATACATGACAAAGCAAATTTTTTTGCAGAACATGCAAGCGGCCGTCGTTATTGTCGGACTTAAGATGCTCTTAAATCTGGGAGTAATCTGGGTCCTAAACTCCATAATATGGAGTTTAGGACCCAGATTACTGTTCGTTTGACCTGAAGTATATTATACTTCAGGTCAAACGAACACTGCAACATCACTGAGAGTTAAAAACTGTCTAAATTCTTTCATCTTTAATAAAACGATCAGCATTGCTGCTTTACCAGGTGTAACTATGAAGTTTAACTTCCAGGCATCCATGAAAACAAAATTTATTACATTTAACGAGTTAGAAGTTAGCAGGAAGCTAGCGGAAGTTAGCTCGCTAGTTTCGCTAGCATGTTCTGACTGAGAGACAGAGATTTCTGAAAAAAATCAAACATACAGCTCTGCTATCACTTCCAACATAAATGAAGACAGGAAACTAAACAGCAGTGACGTTTATAGGGTTACTGAAGTTGGGCTAGCTGGTATATAATGATGTGCTACGTGATCGCTAGCAACACAGCTATGTTAGCATAGCATAAACAGTGAAGCTGGAGGACGAACACTAACACTTTTCCACTTATAAAAGTTAACGTTAAGGTTTCTGATAGTTAGAGACAAATGCAATCGCATGGCAGGATGCTGTAAACGGACCAAACTTTAGTCAGGAGAACAACTGAGATAATCCATCCACAATACGAGGTCAGTCATTAATATACTGCAACAACATGGGAATAGAGAAGCTGCCAGAGAATTCAACATTAATGAATCAATGGTACAGAAGTGGAGGAAGCAAGAAGAATGAGTTTAATAAAGTTTGATTTATCTGACTGCTTTGTTTCGCTTAATGTGCCTTATAATCCCATGCACCTTATGGTCCGAAAAATACGTACTGCACACTGCAGTTTAATGTTGCAAAGCACCTCTTTTTAACTTCAGTGGATATTATACATGGTTATGCTCAGGATATGTCAGCCCATTTCTACTGGAAATGCCTTTTGGTTAAACTTTCAGCAAGGAATTTGCATTTGCACTGTTACATTTTTATAAAGCTTTAATGTACATAAAAACCAGCTTCTTGTTTAAGTGAAAATAAATGGAAGGTTGTGTTTTTGCGCTAGTAATGTTGTGGAGTTGTATTTTGTCTCGCCACAATTATATCGTCAGTTATATCGTTATCGCAAATTTTCAAATATATATCGTGATAAATATTTTTGGCCATATCGCCCTGCTCTAGGCAGAGGCACCGATCGGTTTTCTATCGCCCATTTGCTGGGAGTAAGGGCGCCCTCTGTTTGCGAGGTGCGCCTGCTGGGACGGGGACTCAGTGCAGGCTGGTTGTCGTTGAACTCTCTGGGTGTAGCCAT